TTTCAGTGTACATCTTTTACATTACATTTTGGATTGGTGAACTAACATACACTTTACAAGGATAACCAGGTTTTCAGTATACATCTTTCACATTAGGAAAATATGGGATTTTCCTGGGATAACAATTGAACATAACTAGAACCATGTAACATAACAGATAACTAAGCTTTACATATAAGAAAATATAGGATTTTCTTGGATCGTAACATTTTCAGAACCCAAAAGGAAACTCGTACATTTTCAAAAAACAAAACCGCTTATGAACTCACCAGATTTATGCTGATTTTTAAAATGCTTGTATTCTCAGGTCCACATTAGACAGGTACCCGATGATCCTTTTGTCGAAGACGGAGTACATCGAAGACACGTCTTGCTTTTGTTCATATATATATATATATATATATATATATATATATATATATATATATATATATATATATATATATATATATATATATATATATATATATATATATATATATATATAGACACACACACATATGTATCACACTTATACAACTTAACTTTTGAACAAATGTAAATCTTCATATGTAATGTAATGGTTGTTTACTTTGCTTACTATGTGCACTGGATTTGATACTCAACGTGGAGTCCACCCCGAGAATGTTTCCGCCTTGGTTTTGAGGGTGTGACAAAAAATGACTAGACTTGGATATGACTAAACTAAGTTAAACAACTGTCAAGCACAATCTAAGGTTCGCCAAGGATTGGTTGCTTATGGGTAGTTGGAAGTATAGTAATGAATGGACCATATCGACATTATTATGAATAGATAGGATTCTATTTAAAATGAGTTGCCATATGGAAAATATGGAAATGTTTCCATAATGGGAGTTGGATATTAAGAATCTGTGTAGATTAGAAAATTTTATGTAAGAAGGATGTTCAAAGGAATGTACTTTGAAGGTGAGACTTCATATCTATGGAGTTGTCTTGTAACAATCTCCAGTAGTGCACTTTGTAATTTCATTGGCAACATCTTTGTGACTTTGGTTCTATGTCATTACAAAAGGATCATTGCATTAAATGTTAGAATCTAACATATTCGAGTAGTGGCAAGAGTTTGGTATTCTTACACATGTGATAAGGATTGGGAATTATGAAATGCGCATCATTGAAAATGTGTTCAATTGATCTATTTCACAAAGTAAGGACTATAGGTAAACATAGTATGCATGCTTAGAGCATGGGATGACTATTGTTTCAATTCAAGTATTAAGTTGATTATCCGAAACATTATACGATGAATAATGTGTAATCAATATGCTGATTAAATAAAAGGTGTTTTATTTATAATCAAAAGTTGTGAGGCCATAATGGATTCGATTATTCTTGTGTTTCACTTCGCATGTTTTGACTTCCAGAATAACTAGGTTATTCAGACATCCATAGTCAATCATACTTTAGACATAGCAAAAGTTTGCTGCAATATTCATGAGTGTTCCAGAAATAAGAATTAAGTATTGGATTAAACCCACGCTCACATGAATCACTTCATGGATTTTATCACGAGTGATTGTGAGAGGATAATATCTTATATTCTTGAAACGGAGACATATAGTTGCAGTTTACAAGTTGGTTGCACATTGATGATATGTAAACGGACCAGTAACTTTGTGTTATAAAACGTATCGTTTTGTGTGATTTGATGAGTAAATAGAGAAAGCATATGAGTCGAAGTTTATCTGTTCCTTTTACCCAATGTAACATAAAAGCGATATATGTGGGCCCCTCGATGATTTAGTGATGACACCCTAAGCACTTGGCTAAGCCTGGACTAAGTTGATGTGTTCAATTGTAGTATGTTGTTAGTCGTCTTAAATAGGAAATCAGGAAACAAATATTGGACAAAGATTGATTATAATCCATGTTTCATGTCCATACGATATCTTTTAGAACGGAGGAATATTTGATCCTTTATCTAAGGACACGTCACTGACTAGGTTAGAGTTTGACAGTGGATTTTGGTAGCTAAAATTTGCTAGTCAAAATTTGATGTTATACTTGCAACTATAGTTATTAGACTTATCTAAGTGGGAGACTGTTGGATTAGGTGTCTAAGCTCATAACTATAAGTGGACTGTACTTGAATTAATAGTAGCAATGTCCTTTTGGGTTGCCTTCAAACCTGGAGATTAAATAGGATAACTGTTGGAGAGAGAAGAATGATTTATTAATTTATTACTTGGTTAATAAATTAATTTGAAATCAAGATAAATGATTTATTAATGTATTATGGATATAATATGTTAATTAGAAATCATATTTTTTAATTAATATTTAATCAAAAATTAATTTGGAACTAAATTTAGGATTAAAGGAATTAATTAAAACTGTAGGGACTAAAGATGACAATGTTCAAAAGTTGAGAATTGAGCATTCTAGAACCTCCCTTAGAGGTGGGGAATGAAATCTAGAGTGTCCTAGGTTTCCTTGGGTTCTAATGGTGCCTTGGAAGCCTTAGGGAGGAACTTCAGAGATTAGGGTTATCTAAGATACAACCGCCTTATCCTAAACCTTCCTTATCACCTATATAAACCACTATAGGTTTGGATTTCGTCCCATGCACTCCAAGAAAGGCTTAGATCCGAATTTTCACTTCCCTTCTCTCTCTCTCTCTCCATAGTAATCCTTGGTTGCTAGGTTTGTTTGTGAGCCATTAGAGGCATGACGCTTGAGATGCTTGCTACCAAAGTTCAAGATCTTCAAGGTTTTGATTGTTATTACAATATAACAATAAAGGTATGTATCCTAACCCTAATTATATGTTAAATTCGAAAATTACATGTGCCTCCTAGAGTTTCTAGTTTTTGTATTCAATGCTTGTATGTCTAATAGTGAAAACATAGATCCTTAAATTAGGGTTGCATGCACACATAGGATTGTTTGCTATGTATAAAACCCAAAAGCACTTATGCAAGGAAACATTGTCTAGCAGCCGATAGTGAATAAGGAAGCATCACAAGATTGATCTAGTGTCTATGCTTAGGTCGAGAGTTATGCGAGGGCCTCACTATCTATTCTTGTCTGATTGACGATTTGGGATTTGAAACACGACCCGAACGCCTAATGGGGTCTAGCAGTCTAGGGTTCCGACTCGTTTTAGTTTTGCTTGGTATTTTTTTACATTGTTTGAAAGACCATGTGGAATCCTACAACAATCACAGGAGTGTTGTAAGACTATGATATAGCCCATAACATTCACTTGGATGAGATAGGCCATTGGAAGAGTGTTTGTAAGATTGTGGAAGGAACACCTCATTCGCGTGGGTTGAGTCTGACCCATCATTATTATTTAGCCGCACATTTTTAGGCGTTAAGGCTATTAAACCCGCATTGATGTATAGGATGGATTGTTCACATGTTGTTGGGTAAAACCTCGGACCATCGAGTTAAGAGTAAGGAGTCTGTTTCTCTCAAGGTGGGTTAGATGTAATGTGTGGGTGTATGTTTCATCGTCGGATCAGATCTAGGGATTCTTTCAATCAGTGTGGTTAAATTGTTTCATATCATATTATGAACTACTGATTATATGAATTTTATGAGTGGGGTCCATTAGTCATTTGTTTGATATTATTAGGTCTCAAATAGTTAGTCTTATTGGTATGGTTGAGAGTTAGAACTTTTTAGGGATTTGGGAGGCTCGGTGACCAACTGGTTTGGATCATGTGAATAGTAAAAGTTTGTTTGTTAGAAGTATTACTTATGCATCAAAAAGTCACTTGCTGAATATTTGGATTTGTGGATCCCCATTTGCTTGTGGGTTGTTTACAAGGAGTCTGGATACCAATGTTGGGTATTGGTTTTGAAACTTCTAGTATTGAAGTTCGTTGTAAATGTATTGAAGGATTTGTCTAGTGTTTATACACGTACACTGACATGGGAGTTTAGACGCAACGAGAGATACTTGTATTGACCATTATTACACTCGTAAGAGATGTGGGTTACTGATGACTTTGTAGGAAGTAAAGTGTGTATTTAAGGTCTTTTAGACATGTATTTTGTATTTGAGATATGTTGAAATCCATGATCAAGATGTGTTAGGAATTCATTATGCATGCTTTGTTTGTGATCCTCGCCAGGGAGTAGGGGTAGGTATGATAAGAGGATGATCATCAATCTTAGGGTAAGGTTTCTATAGTTTAGAACGATGGGTTTTCGATTTTGAGAAATATATTTTTGGAGTTGTTTTGTAGTACCAGTTTTGAGAGTTCCCCAGATTGAATAGTTTTCTGTATGATATTGGTCTTATAGGTGGGAAGAAAGAGGTAGTTGTTGCAGTTAAGTGTTTTCAAGTGCTGGGTTTTTTGTTGACATCATTAGGGTTTCGAGTGGTCTCTCGATACCAATTCTATTCTGAAATCAGTTTCGGTCAAATGCCAATTTTATTCAGAAATAAGTCGGTTCAATACCAACTTCATTCTGAAATCAATTTCGTTATGATATCAATTCAATTCTGAAATCAATTTGCCTTATTTAGAATCTTGTATAAACGTAAACAAATATGTGTACTCTGATCAACAAATCAATCTATTACATTTAAATACAATTAGTGAAACAATTCACCAACATCTTGTAGCGATATATATGTTGCACTCCAAGATATGATCGAAAAATGAGAATTCACAATCACTGATAAACTTTGATGGGTGAGGGTTTTGTAACAGTATATAAATATCAATGTAGTACATGACAAACCTTTTGCAATGGACGTCCCTAAGCAAAGTTAAAACATGTATGCCCTTAAATTAATCCCTCGCCAATAATTTAACACACTTTTCTTGGCGATGGAAAAAATTCATCCATGATCCATTGAAAAATATTTCAACAACCGAATATCAATGAATTGTAAGTTGGTGATAACCTAACTTCTAGTAGTGACATGGTGAATACAATACTAAAAGCTCCAAATGAAAAATTCAAAAATTATAAAACGATATGATATGATATTAAGAAATTTAATTAGTTATATTGTTATTCCAGAACCTAAATTTAAAAATTCAATAGTTTTTTAATTAATCTAAAGTAGACCTAAATCAATGTGGATGGAAAAAGTAGGCATCTAAACGTCTACAAGCCAAGTTCCACACCGCACCAACAAGTACCAATAGACTCAACCCTACCCTTAAGAAACCAAGCCCAATATTAAACCACCACCTTACGGATTTTACTGGTGGTCTCTTGATCGCAATCCACATGAGACATGGGTACCCAAATGTTAAATGCAGTGCAATCCCTCCGATGATTAGTGCAAGGGTTTGTAGAAACAGGAACGCCACCGATATAAAGAAGGTCAAACCTCCTTACAAAATCTTGATTCCCATACGAGTTAACTTCCAGCATTCCCTCCCCGTTTTGCTTGCATACACACGTTCTAAGTTATCGTAGACCGCCATGTTGTAAATTTGGAAAGCAGCAACACAACTTATGACAACTTGCACATATATGAGACCAAGGACTGGTTTTGATGAGTGGTGGTGGAGGGTGGTTGGGAGTGTCGTTAGTATTCCTCCATTGGTTGGAATCTGCAAACATTTTTAGCTAGTATTGAGTATTTTATTGTGGTTAAACTTAAATATTGGTCGTTTTTTCATGGCAGATTACTATTACTAACCATGTTTTTGAATGCCCAATATCCAACAATTGCAAGGGGGAAGAAACACATTGCAATAATAACATATGAAGCTATCACTCCTTTCCACATGAGCTTTGCTGATGAAAGATTTGGTGTTGATGGCATTGTATCCTTTTCCAACAAAAGAAACAATCGTTAATAATTAACGTTAAAGGTATTGATTTAGGGTTTGTATTGTGCCAATCAATCCGGATGAATAGCTTTAAAGAAATGTACCTGTATCTCTAACACAACGATATGACCTCTAAATGCAACGACAATGATCCCAAGAGCATTCAAGATACTTCGGGCTCGACCAGCTTCTGATGCCACTACTTTTGATGGATCATAGACAGTGTCGTTTGCCCTTCCATTAGCAACGAACAATACCCATAAGGTCGTACAATATCCAATGGCCATTATCCCTCCAATAAATGAGACCAAAGCTACTGAATACAAATTTGGACAAAACAGGGACACAAGAATTGCTAATGAAATGAAAACCAAGAACCATTCCGTGGTTGTCAAGTTGGAAGAGCAATCGTCACATATGAGTTGATAGAATTGTTTCATCGCTCCACATCTTGTGATTATGAATTTCATAAACGTGCCTGTTGAAAGATACATCACCAGAAATAGGGAAAAAAGTTTCTCGAGCTTTTCACCTGCAAAAATCATTCAAAAACAAACAATCAAGTTAATTAGTTACATAAATATATACTTTTTCTACGTTTATTACTTTAACAAAGGAGTCTTAATGATACGTACCAAAAGAAACAATTGAAAGTTGAAGGTATCGGCTGTAGCGAGTACCCGAGACGCATTCATGAAGACTCACTAACAACCCAATGGTGTAAAGCTGCCATAGAAATGCCACACACAAACACATAATCCCCTAAAACCTGAAACAAGAGTACTTTAGGTCGTTGGATTAAGAACAATTAAATATCCTTTTATATGGCATACATGATTCCATACGAAGTATTATATTGGGCTTACCAGCAGAGGTATACGAAGGCGAGGGGAATAAAAAGTGTTTGGATTCTGATTCCCGAGCGAAGTAAGTGGAATGTTGCGGTCCACGAATTCCATTTTCTTGATCTGGTGATGGGAAGCCACTCGTCTGGTGTTCTGTTGACTCCATTCTGGTCATCCTTGGAATCAGATTGGGAAGTTGTCGAGTTGTTCTTCATCATGCACATGCTTATAACATCACCTTCATCATTCATTATATGAATCCTTTTCTCAAATGCGCCTTCATCTTGCTTACATCCATCCACCATTTCACCCATAACTCTTTACACCTGTCTCAGTTAAGTTCAATGTGTGCGTTCCAAGAGGGAGATTTTGATGACTACTTAACTTTGAAGATAGAATTCTAATTAATTTATGTGATTGGTCTCTTTACATCTGCTTCCCCAAAGTATGTCTATCTTTTCGAAGGAGATGAGAGAGATTTTGATGGGTTTAGTTAAAGAAACAATTAAGGCAAAGGCCACTTTATATATAACAATATGGTCGATGACTGTTCATTGTCAAACATGAAATAGTTGTTGTTTGGATTCATGTTGGCTCCACTCTAGAATAAAATGGTACACACACTACTAGAAAAAGGCTTTCTTTGACAGGTGAATTACGACATACAACACTTTTATGACAGACATAAAAGTTGTCATAAAATTTATGTCATATATTGTAAAATATCAATGATTTACGACAGACAAAATTGTTTGTCGTAATTTTATGTTATATTTTACATATTAAATCAAAATGATTTTTATCTGTTAATAATCACAAACAATAATACAACGTGAGCACTATATAGTCAGGTTTAAAGGATGTGAGTTAAATATTAAAATCAATAAACCATTAGATTGGTGCAAAAAATTAATTACAAAGCACGGGAAAAAAACTCAAACTGGCGAACCAATTCGAAAAAGCTCCACTTTGGTGTGAGGAAAAAAAAACAAAAATATGAGTGTTTATAAAAAAAAATTATATTTTGGTGAAAACTCTAAAAAAACCTGAAGAATGATCTTTCTAATCGGTAGGTTAGCATTATTTTTGTTTACTAACCTACAAATAATAGTTATTATATATAAAAAACGATGCATGGTAGAAATTCTGATATATAAAAATGAAAATTATGCATGATAATAGCTAGTAAAACACCAAAATTTTAAATGAAATAAGTGTTTGGATGGTTTGTAAAAAGAAAAAAAGAGTTGAATGATTGTTTCTATAACAAAAAAAAACAAAAAGAGTTGAAGGATCATTTCTACAACGTGGATGATTTATGAATAGCAAAGAAGAATGCAGGGCTATTTCAATAACATGGATTCCAATTTCAATAAAATGAGGTTTTTTTAAAGTATTACGATATAACCTCCTAAGAGCATCACTTTTTCTAAATTTGCAGCATTAGGCTACAATCGCCGCCCCTCTCGCTAAACACCCGCTACCAATATTTACACCATCTTGTATGAGTCGCTAGGGACTCACCAGTGACGAATCGCAACTGTAGTAGCGAGAAGAGAAAGAAGGAAAAGATTGAATGTGTTTGGTTGAGGTTGTTTTTATTTATTTATTTATTTATTTTTCAAAACAAAACCTATTAAATTTCTCTCACAACCACTCCCTACCTTTTTTAGCATTGATAATATAAAAACCTATGTGGCAATAAAAAAAATCCTAAATGCGTCGCCAAAATCACATATCCAAAATTCCACCAAATGGGTCGACCCTAAACCACATATCCTAATTATACAGATGAATCCTCCATTTAATCTATCCAACAATCTGATATCCTAATCGATCCTTATTTGATCGAGTTTCAAAACCACATATCCACTGCCCCAGATCTGATACTTTCGGGCGCCGCACGACAGTTGATCTTAAGTTTCCGGTACCTGATTGTGTAACATTATGTTTTAAAATAAAATAAATAAACAAAACAAAATAAATGAAATAAAATGAATAAAATAAAATAGATAAATAAATAAATAATAAACCCTAAAACCCCGAGATATATTTTATATTTTATTTTATTTTAATCATAAATCCGTAATAATTTATCATTTTAACCATAAGAAGTTAAATGATATAATTTCTAGAATTTAGGGTCTATATTGTAATATTAGGACTTGAATCCTAAAAGATTTTGTGAAGCGCAGGTGATTAGTAATTATTAGATTTAAATTGTAAAGGAATTGTAGAGGCAGGGACCAATCTCGTTAAAATACATCCAAGTTTGGTAAGACACGGACTTCAACGCGTTACCCCTCCGGTTTTTTGAGTGCAACACCCGAAAACCCTAGCTCTGCAACACTCTTTCAGCCGCCACCTTAATCCCGGGCATCCCAGCCGCAGCCGGCCAGCTGCTGTGAACAACCGCTGCCGCCACCTCCGTTCCTTGCTGCACCGAACCGACGAGCATCGCGGCTACCTTCCCTTCCGGTGAAAACGAATGGCCACCGTGAGTGCGTCCGCTGCCACCATTCCTCCATCTTCTTCTTCTTCTTTCTGTCGCCATCTGCAACCGCAACACGGCAGTTGCCGGTGCTGCTCCGACTGCCCCTCGCCTTCTTTCTGTCCTGCAGCAGCTAGCCGCCGCCGCCGCTCGTACGACCCTCCCATCCGCTATCCGCTGCTCCGGTCGCCGTACCACCCCCGAAGAGGAAGAAACCAAAAGTTATGTATCTAGCTTTATCGTAGCTTTCACGTCATAACACACTTGTATCTACATCTGCCTATGAGTCAGTTCAAAAGGATTTGGATCACACACAACACAAACACTCCGGTCTCCATTATGTGTAATAGTTTGTGTGAATTTTTTGATTTAACAACACACACAATATGCATCTTCCTTAATGTGTGACCTAAAACATAATTTGAATTGAGTATATGCTCTGAATATTCGTGAATTTATTGAAATTTGGATTAACTTATGTGTTGAAGGCAACAACGATTGCGGCTTTTGTGAGAATGACAGTTGAAGATTCAAAAAAGTTAGCTTTTACCAGAATTCTACCCTTCTTGGGTTGTTTTCTCACAGAGACAGAAGTTGAGTGATACTTTTCTACCCTACATTCTTCCTGCTTTTGTACTTTCTCTCTAGTTTCTTTCTATCTTTTTCAGGGACTGATTATTCTGCTTAATCTTTCAGTTGACCTGGCTTAATGCTCATCTTACAAAGATCTGGCCCTATGTTGATGAGGTCAGTTTTAAATTTTAAACCCCTCTATTCACCATCATTATGGTAATATGTTTATTATGTGTTTTTGGATTGTCTTGGAGGCAGCATCTGAAATTGATAGTATTACCTTTTGCTTTTATCCTTTCATAGTAAGAATATTCCACATATTCTTGAATCTTAATTATCAATTGTTTATATTGTTTAGGAGTTTCTATTGTTGAAGATGGAGGTGAAGGAATAACTATGGAGTTGGAACTGAATTGGTAGTTGAAAATAGTTTATTTCAGGAATCATTGGCAACAATGTGCTGAAAGCTTCCTCAACTCGATCGACTGAGCATGCACTCTAAATCAACACTTGCCCAGTGTCCAAATACCTACATCCACCTTTACCAGCCTATTAAGGGTATTTTGGTCATTTAAATTTATTCACATTCTGGTTATTTGACAGATTGAAAAACCCAAACAGATAACAATAATGAATTTATTACCTTTGTTGGAATAGAACAACAACCGATTGAAACAAGAGTGTCGATTTTTGCATCTTAGGCCTGGAAGAATTGATAGAAAGATTGAATTCCCAAATCCAAATGAAGATGTAAGTATTTATTTAATTTTAATCCTTCCTGTTCCTCTAAAATAAGCCTTTGTTAAGTTGATATAAACATGGACCTACACATTATTAGCAGAATTTCATGTCTGATAGATATCCCTAACCAGTTTGTAAGGTAAGTTCTTAACCTGTCTCGTATTGGTCTATGTAAGCTTTCAACTGGGCCATTTGTTTATTTTTTGTTATTTGACTTCTATACTGAAATTAACTTTCAGTTACATCCTCTCTCTTTCTCTCAAATATTTAGCAAAAATAATGTTTTAATATTGCTAACGGTTAAAACTTTATTTAATCTTAATCTTTTTTCTTCATCCACGGTTAAAACAATCACTGATGCCAATTCCATTTTTGCCCTTCAGATTCCAAATATACCCGGCAGGGGAGCTTTACAAACATAAACCATGGCTTTTAAGGGCTTTACATCTTAAAATTTGTGGAAGGTGTGTACAGTAACATGCATATACTAAAATTGTTTGTATTAATTCAAGTTTCTATTAACAGATTATTCTAGTGTTTTTTTAATTACAGCTTCTGGAAGGTATTTAGTGAATATTTTAGTTTTGAGTTCAATTGTTTTTATGTAGTTTTGGGGGAAGAATGAATATACAGATGTTGAGCTTGATAGGGTGCGTGTAAAATGGGATACTTATGTCATAAACTTAATTTATAAGTGATGCATTTGACAATTACTTTTTGATGAATTTGGAACGTATTTTTGAATTTGACACTATAGTTTGTATAATTTAGACAATAAATTTGTATTAGTTTGATTAAGATTTGGTAGGATATATATATATATATATATATATATATATATATATATATATATATATATATATATATATATATATATATATAATTTAAAAAAACTATAAAACCTTTGACATACAAAGCATGTCGCAAAAATATGTCAAAAATCATATTGTACAAAACATGTTGTAATTTGAAGTCGTAAATGTTTGTCGTAAATACAATAATGTTACGAATTATGACAATTAAAGTCAGTCGAAAACGCATGTTGTGTATATACATCGTAATTGTTGATCATAAAAGTCTGTCGTAAACTTTATAACAGACCTAATGTTTGTCATTTTCATTTATGATAGACCTAATGTCTGTTTTCTTTATGACAGACATTTGCTTGTTATATATATAGGTATTCATGACCTTTTTTCTAGTAGTGACATGTGTGTCACTTTATCAGCTCTAGCATGACATGAATACGTATGACGTCTATGCTTACCATTATGTTATACATAATAATCATAATAAAGTCAAGTTATTCTAAAAGCTGTAAAAATAGATCTTAAATTACTTTATCTATTCTAAAAGCTGTAAAAATAGATCTTAAATTACTTTATCTTTTGACAAAATTGCAAAAAATATCTCGTGTATGTAAATCTTTGAAATTTAGTTTAAAACTTGATTTTTTTGGCTTCATAGTCATTTTAAGTTAATTTCCTTGTGTTTTTTATACGCCTGAATTGTGAAATGACTGTAATTCATTTATTTTAATCTTCCATTTCCCCAAAATATGATGTCATTTTCTCAAATATTTTCCTCCCAAATTCCAATACAAGTTTTCTAAGGTTATTTTCAATATTGAAGATGAGGAGGGCATCGACGTCTTTTGCACAAATGAAAGATTGAGAAAAATATAACCACGGTTGATGATGGTAAGGGCATTTACATCATTTTCACAATAAAGAGATCAAAAGCGAGTCCATGTCCCATATTTTTTGGTGGGACAAAAAATTGTAATGTTGTCCCCATTAAGATCAGTTTCGGTCAAAGTCAATATATATATATATATATATATATATATATATATATATATATATATATATACACACACACACACGATAGATGATCATACTTTGGTTTCATCATCTAAAACTTTTTCCATGAGATAAAGGTCACAGAACTTTGTCATCTCCAATAGAACTTCCAAAACAGTAGATCTCGCAGTTGCTTGATTCTACAATAATATACAACGAAAAAACATAAATCACATGATTGAAATATGTATGAAAAATAATAAGGATTAGTTTTTCATTTTTTTTATGGAAATAATGAAACTGGTTTTTTAGACAAAATATGCAAAACTGAAACATGGTTGCTTAATCAATGTCTTGCATTAATTAGTATAAGTGTGAAAGGTTGTTGCATGAGCTCATTTTTAATTTTATTAGTATGACCATTTAAAATGAGATAATACGCAAAATCAACTTATTAGGTATACGAGTCAAAATTTTTGTCTAGAAAATTGTTAATAATAATTTTTTTCCAAATAGAAAGCATTTATAAGATACAAAATTATTTTACCTAAATATGAATACCATAAATTAATTGGTTGCAAAGTCCATGTCAAAAACCACCGTGTTTAAAAAATTGGTATAAAGGCGAAATATTATTGCATAAATACGTATTTAATTCGGAAAAAAGAATGTAAAACACGGTTTGCACAAACATTTACCCCCTCCCCCACCACTGTGTGTGTATGCGTGTGTGTTGTGTGTGTGTGTATATATATATATATATATATATATATATATATATATATATATATATATATATATATATATATATATATATATATATAGAGAGAGAGAGAGAGAGAGAGAGAGAGAGAGAGAGAGAGAATTAGGTTTAAATGTGGATTGACAGCTATTGTACGGACGTGTGGACCATGCTATTTTGTGAAAATGACAAAGAAAATATGTTGTTTAATAATATGAATACGTTCAATCTTATATAATGATTGTAATTATTACGCATTTTCACTAATTAAATCGTCTATAAGGTTATTATAGACTTTTTTTTTAATTATTCTCATTCTGTTAGAATGTTATCAGGATGTTGATTGAGTCGTATTCTGTAAGAATGAAAATAAATGAAAATCGATGGATGAAAATAAAAATGAATTAGAATTAGTGAGAATCCATTAAAATAACAACAGTTCTGTGAAATTGAACGTATTTATATTACTAAACAACATATGATCTTATAATTATTATAAAAGAGCATTATTCACACGTCGGCACAATAGTTGTCCATTCACATTATAACCTAGCAATATATATATATATATATATATATATATATATATATATATATATATATATATATATATATATATATATATTGCTAGGTTATAATGTGAATGGATAACTATTGTACCGACGTGTGAATAATATATATATATATATATATATATATATATATATATATATATATATATATATATATATATATATGAATCACAGTCACAACCTGAAGCTCCTCTGGAGTACTTTCCTCAAGTATAATGCCAAGCAACCGAAAAGTTACCTTCACCAAAATCAACCGAATATTTATATTTTATATGATAATAGGGAAATATACAAAAAAAATCCCAAACGTTTAAGAAAAGCATCAATAAAGTCCTAAAAGTTTTTTTTTAACAGAAAAATCCAATTGTTTTGAGAAAATCATATAACTTGTCATTTGCTGTTCAAATATAGAAAAATATTTTTTCCGTTAATTTGTGAAAAATATTAAATAATTGAGACTTTTCTATTAAGAAAAAACTCTTAGAACTTTATTAAAACCTTTCCCAAAAATTTGAGACTTTTTTATAACAAACTAACAATCAAAAGGTAATAGTTTCGTGGCTATATCAATAATATGGTGAAAGTGCAATTACTTTTCTGAATTTTCCCCTATAGTAAATACAAAAGGTATATATATATATATATATATATATATATATATATATATATATATATATATATATATATATATATATATATATATATATATATATATATATATATATATATATATATATATACCTCCCTTCCATCATTTAATCTTTATCTAACTATTTGTCTCAAAGTAGGTTGCAAAAACAAATACAATAAATCATAATTTATAAGAAACCCAATAGAATTCAAACTAAGATTTTTATAGAAAAAAATACTAACTTTACAGGTTGAAAAATGTCATAAATTACAGTTGGAGTTGGTTAAAGAGACATCTCATTTTACAATATGGATACCCTAATTTATTTTTGAAATATTTTTATTGGTTGAAATTGTATTTTTTTCTGAAAAAGTTGTTTGTAAATAGTTTATTATAGGTTGAATTTTTATAAAAAAATTATAAGAGGATGTTTTATTAGCAACACCCATTACAGTTTGTATTGTTGACGGCAAGAGATTTGAATTTGTTTGAGTATTGACTTGAGAAGGAGGTTTAGGTTGTCTTCCATAGGACCCACTAGGTGCTAAGAGTAGCTTCCATGTAAAAATTACACTTCAAACAACAGCCACTAAAGCCCAAACAGATTGTAAATCCTGTAATTAATTTTATTTTTTTTGTTTAAAAAGAATTTAGAGTGCAGATGATATGATCACAAAACTTGCACATAATACCAAGAAGTTAATTATTATTCATAAAGCACCGGTTAACAAAAGCTTTAAGGGCAAATTTATAGTTTCATTTCATCTACAGCCATTAAAATTTTCATTACTTATTTATTGCTTGAAAGACAATGTATTTTACATTGTATATCAAATATGCAATGTTGAAAAAGTAAGAAATACTCAAAATGTTTGGAAAGCAATATTTGTGATGATTATTTACTTGTGCAATTATGAAAATCAATATAAGAATATAAATTGTGAATTTAAAATTCCTTAGCTTTGCATTTGCCTATGCTTCAATTGGTTAATGATTCATATTTAATATTCATAATTTTTAGGTAGTTTACAAAGTTAGTCCTTACTAGTTTCTTTTAAATTTAATACTGATTTATTTATTTTAATAATTAAAAAACATAAAACGTGTCTCTCTCTCTCTATCTCTCTTTCTCTCTCTCCATTGCTTTGAGACTTGTACAATATGTATTCTTATAGATTCATCTTCCACAAAAAGCCAAACCCGCTTTGATCTTGAATAATCATTGTCTCTATTAGATTGGACAAGAAATAGACGAATGAAAGACATATCGACGGTAGCTACGGTGCAGATGGAAATCGCAAGGAGGGGAAAGGGGGTTCGTCGATACCGACGACCCTTTTGTAGGTTTACTCTTCGTCTTCACTGATCGGGAGAGGGAAGAAGGAACATGAATGTAAGCAGTCAAAATGGTGATCTGGTGGTCCAACAGATCGTGAGAAGGAGTTGATCTCCGATGACCTCCCCCTAGGCTCTTCACTCGTCGTTGGCAGCTACAAATCGAGAGGGAAATGGAACTGATTGGATCGAAGGGAGAAGGAAGAAGAATGGAAGTAGAAGAAAGGTTGTTCGGTGGAGGTTTTGTCCATCGCCAAAATGAAAGACGAAAATGAAGGCAACTTACTATGTCGAGTGACTGTTACAGAGAGGGGGCTGCTTTGGTGGCCTCCTTGGTTCTCCTTCAGTTCCATTGGCAAAACATGATGGATGAGGGGAAAGAACCATCGAAGTAGCAACGGAAGGAAGCAATGATCCTCAAGGGGTGTTTGGTTGTTTCCGATCGACAAGAAGGAGGGGTGTAGGAGGGTTGTCGGTTCCCTTTTTGTCATCTATGGTGTAGAAACAAGAGAGGGAGGGAGGGAGAAAGAGAGAGAGAGAGAGAGAGAGAGAGAGACAATACGGTGTGGGCCAATTTTAATATTAATAAAACATAAAACATTAAATTAAACAGAAAAAACATAAAAAAAAAATATATGAAGAGGGCAATTTAGTCATTTCAATTTTTGGAGGGACCATTTATAGGTAGAAACATGGTTAAAAGGACCATGAAGGCAAAAAAGTC